TTTGTCATCTTCTTCCCCTTCCTTCCTTCCTTCCTTCCTTCCTTCCTTCCTTCCTTCCTTTCTCTTTCTTTCTTTCTTCCTTCCTTCCTTCCTTCCTTCTTCCTTGTCTTCTCCTTTTTCTTCTTTCTTCCTCCTCCTCCTTCCTCCTCCTCCGCCTTCTTTCTTCTTTCTTTTCTTCCCTTCTTCCTCCTCCTTCTCCTCCTGCAGAAGACCTCGTGAACAACTGGCCTTGCAATCCAGAGAAGACCTTAATTGCCCACGTGCCAAACCGCCGAGAGATCGTCTCTTTCGGCAGCGGCTACGGGGGCAATTCCTTGCTGGGGAAGAAATGCTTTGCCCTACGGATCGCTTCCTGCATCGCCAAGGACGAAGGCTGGTTGGCCGAGCACATGCTGGTGAGGGGGCAGGGGCGGGGTGTGGGATTGTAGGGGCAGGGGTCTGCATGGGTCTTCATGGCAAGAAGGGGCAGACTCCATGATCCGAGCCGCTTGCAGATTGCCCCGTTGCGACATCTGAAAAAGCGGGAAAGGGGTGACTTTGATTGGCGCGGCTTCAGCGGCCATCTTGATTTTTCCCCCTCTCCGCAAAACCCCTTGGAATTTACAGTCAGTCCTCATCTTACGACCCCAATGTCCTTTACAGAGACAGACGGGGGGAGGGGGGTCAAGTGAGTTTTGCCCCACGGCCTTTCTTTGTCGCCGTGGTTAAAGCTGAATCACGGCGGTCGCTAAGCGAGCGACGCCTTTGTTAAGCGAATCTGGCTTCCGCCGTCGATTTTGCTCGTCAGAAGGTCGCAAAAGGGGATCGCGTGACACACACACACACACCGGGACGCTGCAACGGTCGTAAGTGTGAAAACCGGTCGCCGGTCTTTTTTCCCCAACACCGTTGTAACTTTGAACTTCGATTGTCACTCTTTTTTCATTTCCGTTCTCATCTACGGCTTGGAGGGAGAAGTCCGTCACCCCCTTTGCACTTTCTGTATGTGCTCAGGGGTACTCTTTCCCTCAATCGGTGACTGATCCCAAGGGTGCTTCTCCCCGCTTCCCAAAGGCAACTGGACTTTCTTTTTTTTTCCTTGAAGAGGTTTCACTTCTCATCCGAGAAGCTTCTTCGAGTTCTACTGAAGGAGAAACGTGGACTGAAGAAACCGAGGAGGCTTCTCGGATGGGAAGCAAAACCTCTTCAAGGGAAAAAAACCATGTAGAAAGCCCAGTTGTCTTTGGGGGCAAAAAAAGCACCATCGGGATCTAACCGGTTTCTTTCTTCCCATCTGCCCTCAAAGCCACCTAACCGTGGAACCCGTCAAGCGTGCAGCCCGTGTACCCTGGGGCACGGCTGCCGTGCCAGGCGTGGAGGATTGCAAAGTAGGACCGTGAAGTTTTTGGGGAAGAGGTGCCGCAGCGTGGGGGGGGGGGCAAGGGTCGATTGCTGGGATCGAGCTGGTGACGGG